TCCTGGCCAAATTTCCCATTGGCCCTTACCAGTCATGGCCTCCTAATAATCCCCATCTCTGAACTGGCTTCATTACTCTGCTCTCCTCCCCACTGATAGCTGATGTGTGGTGAGCGTTCTAGTGCACTATGGCTGCCGTCACATCATCCAGGTGGATACTGCACATTGGTGGTGGTGGAGGGGAGTCCCCATTACCTGTAAAGTGCTTTGAGTGGAGTGTCTAGAAAAGCACTATATAAGTGTAAGCAATTATCATTATTATTAATAATAATAATAATTAAACACTGTATATACTGTAAATACAGACGACAACTAGAATTGTAAAGTTTTTTTTACTGAGCAGAATGGGATACCTACTAATTTGAAGTCAACCGGTAACATTATATTGACTGATTTATTGAGATACAGTAGCCCGTCTAGTCAAATAAAAAATTGCAGTAACATTGCAACAATGCCACACTTTAATTGTAACAACAGAACACTGCAACATTGTGGCAACACAAATTTGACTCCAGGGAATGTTGTCGAAACAAAGTATTATTTACGAATTCCCGCCTTTGCCCATTTTATTTCTGTATCTCAGGAGCTTCACTTCTTTAACCGTGAGTGATGCAGCAATTCCTGTCAGGAAAGACTGATATGACAAGACAACGTACCACTAGAGGCCATTCAAAGCCTCTTATCAATGTAAATAGATACACAGGGTGAATATTGGTTACCTAATTAGGTAATTGGTAGAGGATTTAGAGGGCACATTCTCACATGTGTGTGATTAAAGGACTGTGTGGTTTATAAAGGGTCTCATGGGGGTTGTTAGTGATTGGGTGTTTGTATAGTAGGCTATGTGTATTGTGGTAGAGATTTTAAAGTCCATTGTGAGCTTTACTGTGCTCAGACCATTTGAGCCTCTAAATATAGTTTGGGGCCTGTCACAATTGCCTTGCAAAACCATTCTATCCCTTTTTTGCTGTTTTAAAGCTTGCAGTCATCAGACTTACAGTATATATATATTATATACACAACCCACTTGGCACATTCAAAGCCAAACATGGAAAGTAAATAATATGAAAGAGGAATAGAAAATTAATCATTGCAAAGATATTCAGTTTGCTGTGGCAGATTCAAATTCATAAAATGAAGGTGTTGCTGTTTTATAAATCCTAAAAGTTTTGTGGAGGGAACTGAACTTGAAACAGTCCTGTATGTGGATCTTTATTTGGGCTGAATTAAATTCAATCTACTGTATGCACTAGGTGCACATCACAAAACTGTTACTAAAGACAGTATTTTTTTGGCTCCACAATTTGTGATTAGAGAGATGGGTTTTGATTCACTTAGCCTTTGTCTGTTTCCTGGGATTTACAGTACACGTAAAACGTGACGATTGTTTAATTTTACTCTCCCTGTAACTTTCAACTTTGTACTGTATTTTTTTACAATGCTATATTACAAAATGATTCATGCAAAGCAATTTGAAATGGCTCTCAGTTTGAAAACGTATCACAGTCTTCTGTAAAATACAGTATAATTTCATTTATTAATTTCTGGGTTTAAACTACTGTATATAAGTGAAATAAAATCAAGAACATAGTGGCTAGAAACAAACTGGTCTTAAATCAGCTATTTTTAAAACATATATCTGCATGACAGAGGCTTGAACACCCTTTCAATTCTTAACCTTATTCCTCAAATGATTTCCTCTTCCATAGACTAAATATTAGCTATTCTTACATATGGAATGGTGGGCATTAATTACTTCTCATATTAAATTACAAAAGAAAAAAAAACCTAAGAAAGACAGAACTTAAAGCATTACAGCCAGAAACAAAAGCAACTGAGCAGAGCCAATTCCAGGTAGTTTTTGTGATGCATACTCATGTACTCAGCTGAGGAGGTTAAAACCACCGAAGCAGATTTCCCAAGAGAGATGGACGGTCATAGGATAAAATGATTTTCAGTCATGAGGCTTAGACAGATTCCAACACGCACAGGTATATGGTCTGATATTGCTGGCAGGACATTAATCTGTAGCCAAGCACAGCACTCACTCTTCACTTTTATGGCTCTTCTGATATCAGAAATGATCACACTTCATGCAAAATCAAAAACAGGCATTCATAAAAGCTCTGGAAATCAAATAAAACTGTACACATGTATTCAGTAAATGGTGTTCATGTCCTGATCAGTTCTGATTCATAATTATTGGGAACTGGTTGTAGATTAAAATACTGTATAGCCAGGTATATATACAGTATACTGTATAGGCAGTATGTAGTCAAAGAAATCATTTGAGGAATACATTTATGAACGAAAGAATGTGCAAACCTCTATCATACACACATATCGTTCTGCAAACAGCTGATTTGAGACCAGCTTGTCTCCAGTGGCTCAGACTCTCTCTGGTAGAGCTACCAGACTCTTTAGAAATAAAATGTTTCCTGTACTTGGTTTTCTTTAAGTCACAGTGTTTCTTATGCATAACATTTATGTAAGCCTCTTGGCCAAGTCGACAGTGTCAATGAGACGCTGCTCTCTACTGACTTAGCATATTAGATAGCATATTAGAAGGATTATTTTTATTATTGTAGAAAGCTGAAGGATCCTTGCATCCTTATTCCCTGTTTTTCACTTATCAGTCTCAGATTTTGAATATTAACAGATAATTAATGTGCTTTCAGAATGTCAAATGATAAATGAATGTTTCCTGCAATATCTTTTCCTTAACACGACAGGAAAATATACCTATCTGCTGTGCTATATGACAGATGAGGCACTGATCTGGTGCAAGTAACATGAAAAGGTAACACTAAAGTCTTCAAAGCCAAAATACAAGCTACAAATATAAAATGTAAAACTATTAGTTTGAAGGAGCAACATAGTGATTATGTTCATATATGATTTATTGTATGTCTTCTTGACAATGTAAAAATGCCAAAAATTAGGTAGAAAACTTTTGGATATATAGTACAACAGAATGTTATTTAGATACCAAGATACCACCATGCACACTTAATACTTCATTTATAACATTATATAACATTTTGATTACCATCCATCCATTTTCTATCCATTTTATCCAATACAGGATCTTGAGGGAGCTGAAGCTTATCCCTGCAAGCAACAGGCACATGCAGGATACAGCCTGGATGGGACACCAGTCCATCGCAGACACTGTGATTACCACACTGCAAAAAATATCGACACTCAGTCCAAATCAGTCCAAAGAAGAGAAACTCTCTGGGTTCGGTAATGTAATGCTCTGACATGATAAAAATTAAATGAATCACTGTTGTCTTGAACTGAGAAAATTACAAGGACACCTGATTCATCTCTTCAGGAGTTCTCAAGGCACAGGGAATGTTAACCCTATAGACTTAATCATTACAACAGAAAAAAATAAGCTAGGGGACACAAATGGAAACTAATGGGTAAGGCTTTGAAAAACTGAAAGCAGTGGGTATGTCTTTACACAGAATGTTGTTACCCAGATATTTTGTTGAAGCTGGTACAATTGTTTCTTTCTAGAAATTGTTGTATGAGATCCTTGGGTCAAATACAGTAGCTGCTAGCAACCAAATGAAGAACCTGTATATGGGCTTAATGGCTTTTACTCAACGGCAAATATGATGTTCAGTGTTCATATCTTTTGCATATGCTAATTTCCCAGTGTCCATTCTGGCTTAGATATAGAATTTCACAGATGGCATTAACACTTCACATCTAAAAACTTTACAAGGATACAGGAATGTCGACATGTTGATAGCTTCAGTTTTGTAAAGAAATAATCTAAGGAAAGAAAGAATAAGTGGTAAGACAGAAGGAAATTTCTGGCCATTGGTGAATCATGCTGGGCCTGGTCTATGTCTTATTAATAACAAATGTCATATTGAGTTACAGTGTGACTTCCTCAGTCCATGTACCTGGAATAGATGCATCAAAGTAACACAGAGGTAAAATATCAAGTTAAATTAAATTCTAACACAGCCCCCTGCAGTGTTAGACAATAGAGCTTATAAGATAAATGTAAGGCAGACTTCAAAACTGATGGGAAACAAAAATGTCATCTTGTGTCACTAAGGACTGGAAATATATAAAAACTATCAGTACATTAGAATGTAAAAGTAAGAGAAAACAATTGAAAAAGATCAACAGACTTTTTCAACAACAGTGCCTAAAGGAGGTTCCTGTAAAACTCTTTTACAGTATTCATTGGAAGAATGCAATGGAGCAATAACCAAATCCCTAATCACGATCCATCCTGCATAGGCAAATATGAAATCTGTAAAGATATATCACACCAGTTATGGTCAATATCAACATTTGCAATTATTATGTGCTATCTTAATTTTCTCTAGCTCAGGTGGAAATAAGGCTGAAACAATTTAAAACATAAACTACTGGCAATAATAATATTTATCCAAAGCAGGTGAGTTTGTTTCAAACTTTCATCAGCACATATGCTGTACTTCGCTGTTTAATACATTTTTATAATGAATAACAAAATGCTGGAGATAAGCAAGTCTCAAGGATCGATAATTATAATACCAACTGATGTTATTTTTCAGATTTGTTAAGAGTTTCTTGTGTGGAAAATACTCATGTATTGTAGGCTTATGGTTAAGTCAGACAACTTCACAATTATAAGAAATAGTGAATACTTATGAAGATCTGTGCATTTAGTTTTTAACAAAAGAGTGTTTATAAAACGCGATTTTAAACACAACGATGAAATCATTGCGCTCCTTAATTATGGCTGTCTTTCTACCGGAACAAAAAATAAATAAAACACCACCCTGGTAGGAGCATTTTATCTTAATCAACGCACGCCTCAATTATAATTAATCTGACAAGTTTTTTAACGAAGCACAAAATCCTTATTAGGGGACGTATCCTTAAAAATTACATGCTTCTCTAAATGCCTCGTCATGTGTCCGAATAAAAAGAAAATGAGGGAAAGGGGGGAAAAAAGAAAAAAAGAGGTTAAGACGCAGCTTCCCAGAGCTATTTCCCAACAGAGAGCCCTAAGCCATTCCCCCTCCCAAGTGCTCCTCATGTTTCTATAGTAATTTCCAGCCAATGATCAGTAGGTGTCCACATCCCAGCTTCCTCACCTCAGCACCAATCAGCCACACACAGCGACAGGAGACACGGACCGAGCTAACACTCGGCTGCTACACAATACACCCCGGACCCAGAGGAAACACCTCACCTTCCGTAATTCACCTTCGGCACAGAGGTACACTGCTGGCGGTTTTTCTGTCTCCCTTCCACCTCACTTCTTTTCTTTTGGTACTTTTCTTTTCTATATAAGTGAATGAAAAAAGAGCCTTTTGTTTTGAACGCTTACTGTGCATCTTCACATATCTTGCGTTCTTTCTCCCCCCTCTCGCCGTGCAGTGATGTGCTGCTCTATATTGGCAGACTGGTAGCGTCTGGAATCTCTTTTCATCGGGAACCTGGTAGGTGATGCTCTTCCATTTTCGCCACCCCCCCAAAAAAAAAATTCACATTTGCATGTATTCTGACGAGACGATTTTTTCGTGGGTTATGCTGGTGCCAAACTGATTCAAGCGCAGGCGAATTAATTTGTTGGTTTAATTGCACCGTTCAGTCCCTCCTCGGTCTTTCTGTGCATGACCTTTGATCTAAGTGTCTCCGACACACCAGACAGAAAGTAATTAATGGCATCGTGGTGCAGCGACACTGGGATTCGTCAATGGAGGCACCCCTCCCCTCTCTAAGTGTTGAGTATTTCTGTTTCACTAAACTTTGTTTACAGGTTGAAAATCAATAGCTGCGACTTGATTGCCTTTGGCTTCTTCTTTGCCCAAGGGATGGATTGATTAAGTAATAATGAGACAGAAGACGGGTGGTTATTTGTATGCCGTTAGTTTTCTGTATGGTATTTATTCTCATTACTTTACTATCAGAATGTCATTTTTTATGAATTTGATACATGTTTTTTTTTTCTTTTTCATTGATAGAATAATAATTGCTGTACAATGTATGTACAAAATGAGCTGCTTAAATATAGGTGAATTAAAGGTTAGTCTTCACAAATCCCACTAATACCATGTGACAATGCAAAAACATGTGGTGTGGCTGTTACTTTTGTATAATAATGTTGCATTTTAAAGTCTAAAAAACAACCCAGAACATTATCCAAACAAGTCCTAAGTAATATGGTACCTAACTCCCTCATAAAAACAAAACAGAACCAGTAACAAAACTTAAGAAGCCCCAACTTTTGTATATAGCAGAGTATTTGTGACACTGTATAACAAGGCACCAGCAAATTCTCTTCATTACTAATTTTGACAATATTTGTAATGCATTTACAGCTTGATGCAATATTGCACCCTAGAATAATCCGAAATGCTTTCGAGTTCCTGAAATGTATCGGGTTTGGCAATTAAAAAGAAAACCAGGAAAGGTAATGGAAGCAGGGGATGTGTCTAATGGGCTTTTATCTATGGAAACAAAACCCAGACTGACTTGAGAGGAAATGGAGTCCCCCAAGGCAGCTGACACTACAGTTGTCGGGTCTATGGCTTGGCTGGGTTAAAATTCACCAGTGGCTATCTTACTGTCATTGAATAAATGTAATAGAGATGAGAATGAATGGATGCCAGGTGCTTTTAAAAGGTTGGGCTGAGGTGCATTTACATTGAACAGAATTGCTTGTGGCTTGGAGAGCACATTATCTGTTGAAAATATCGTCCTGCATCTTTGAAGAGCCACTTGAAGTATTACAGCTTAACCTCTTAAAATATAGCCTTCAAGATGTTTCCTTACAAGATCCCTATGTTTGCGAATACATCATATATTTATTTATTGTAAACCAAAATCCATTTCCAGTTTCAGAAGAATTGCTAACTGACCCAGAATGGAAATGAAACACCTTAATTTTTGACAAGAATTTGTTCCCATATTTTGTCTCTGTAACTCCAGACTGCTTTGAAATAAAAAAAAAAACAGTCTCTCTGTACTCCCCTAAATTCTGACATGGTATAAGTTGTGTTTTTCTAAACTGGCTGTTTGTTTCCTATTATACTAATATGTTAGCGTGTCATAGCTATCACATAATTGTCAAAAGACAAGGATCAGCTTTGGGAATTTGAAATGCACTTCATTAAAAATGTAGTCAGGAAAAATAAATGAAATGTCAACAGATGCGCTGAATGTCTTGCCTTTATCATCTCAAATAACTTTGTGGGGAAATTGATTTCAATAAAAAGAAATGTTTTCTAGTTGTATCAGTAATTGTTGTTTCTTGTTTTAGTACCAGAGAAGACATGCGAAGATGGTAAAATATTGTTTGTAACCAGCTCCAGCTCGAGAAAGGTGAATACAGCTCTAGACTTTTTTTTTACCACATCACTAAATAATTGCGGCCATGTCTAATATAAACAATGCTCTTTGTGTTGAGAATGGACAGAGCGCTGAGCCTTCTATATTACAAAAGGATAATCTTCAAGAGAGTGGATTAAACCCCGTTTTGGATTATAATGCCGAAATGGAAAGGTACAGATCTTTTGCAAACTTTTATAAAACGAATGGGGCATTTCCACAGACAGCGAAGATTGCTCGTATAACGACGCCAATTTTTCCCAGTGCCAGAATTGGTGTGTCCCCTTGGAACTGCGATAACGCTATGCTCTGGGGAAGGAAATCAGCAGCAATAAACTCTAATAGGACCAGCATGCATAGAAATGACTCCCAGAGGCCGGGGAAGCCTGGCGTGCCGCCAGAGACGTTGCAAATGGCAAATAATAATTTCCTCACTACCTTATCCCCCGAACACTGCAGACCTTTAGCAGGAGAATGCATGAACAAGCTGAAATGCGGCGCTGCTGAAGCAGAGATAATGAATCTCCCAGAACGCGTTGGAACTTTTTCCGCTATTCCGGCTTTAGGGGGCATCTCATTACCTCCCGGGGTCATCGTCATGACAGCCCTTCACTCCCCCGCAGCCTCAGCAGCCGTTACAGACAGTGCGTTTCAAATTGCCAATCTGGCAGACTGCCCACAGAATAATTCCTCGGCATCCAGTGGAAACCCTGCGAAGAAGAAAAGGAAAAGGTGTGGGGTCTGTGCACCCTGTAGGAGGCTAATCAACTGCGGGGTTTGTAGCAGTTGTCGGAATCGCAAAACCGGCCACCAGATCTGCAAATTTAGGAAATGTGAAGAGTTGAAGAAAAAGCCAGGCACGTCGCTTGAGGTGAGACGAGCTCTCTCTTATTATTATCTCTGTACTCCAAAGCATTAACCTTTTCACATAGTCACGTTAAAACCCTTGAAAATTGTTTCCATGCCCACCCATGCCTGAACATCCTTGGCTTCTCAAATCTGCCTACCCGCCTAGCCTAATTGGCAGTAATTAGGGGTGTTTGCGTGGAGCACAAGCTGAGCTTGGCTCAGACACCCCTAATTGCTGCCAGTCAGGCTGGGGCTGGAACACATCCGAACAACCCCAGGCTTGGCTCAAATCCAAGCTGAGCTGGGAAATGGTTTTCAGCAGCGAGCAATCCCTCTCTGCACTTGGTCATTTTAACCAATTATGTAAACTGGCTCAGGGAGGCGAATCAATACCCCACAACAAGTCCCAACCACCACAGGAAAAAAAAAATGCAGTGGAGGATTCACATTGTCTTCTCAAGCTGCCTCAGTTTAAATGGAAATTTAAAAACGTCTTCTTGGCTCAAGTTCTGGATTTAACAAATAGAAACAAAGTAGGAGAAGGACTCCCCCCCACTACTTTGAAGCCTGCTGATCAGGCATGTATGGTATAATATACCTCTTTAATAAGAATAAGCTCTGTTGTTTCTGGCCTTCTTCATTTCCTTCCTCTGAAATCGGCTTTTTAAAGGACAAAATCCTACAGTTTATTCACTTCTTATATTTTTCACCTTCTCATGTTTGCAGATGTTTCGTAGTGCACTGAAGGCAAAACAATAATTTTCATTGTTGTATTGCAATTGAATTACAATTAAGTCTGTAATTCAATTTAAGAAGTGGGGTATCACCACAAATGTTTTTTTTGATATATGTTTAAGCCTTTAATTTATGTATCATATGTTTTAAGCAGTGTTGGCTCTGACCACTGTACCTTTTATCCTATTTTTTTTTCTGCTAAGGAAACAAATAATGGGACATTTCTGTATCCTTACACTTTCTTTGAGTTCTTTGCTGAAATTGTTTAGGGATTCTGCATTGTACCTCAAAATATTTAGTATAATTAGTATACTATCCTTGTAAATGCCAGAGTTATACGTTTTTTTTCTGAAACGTAAGTTTGGAAAGGGCAGACTCAGTTTAGTACAGTACTTTGAAGCATAGGGTAGGTGCTCATACACCTCTGGAGCAAAGGAATAATACCAGTAATGGAAAAGTGGCATCAGATAATGTAGAATTGACCTTTATTGGCCGAAAAGTTTTATTGGACTGGTTTTAACTAATTCACTTGTGTTAAATTGCCTTGAACTGGTTTAGATTCTGGGATACGTGTATATTTATAAATCTAATGGTTGTATTTATTTTGTGTCTCTAATTTCTGTGGTATTTGCTTTATTAAATCTGGTTGATCACTAATGAAGCTTAGTGGACGGAGTGGTTATATAGGTCTTTATTTCATTTTGTTCAAAATTCCCTAGGGATTTCCTGGGGCTATTTTGTGGGTTAAACCAAATTTTAAAAACTTAAAAAGAAACCACATGTATTATCTGCACATAGTTTATTTTGTGAAGCGTCTTGTCTTCTTTTTCCAGCACAAACTACAGCTAGGTACAACTAGCTGTACAAGTAAACTGTTTGTTAATCAGATTAGTTAGAAAATGGAAAATAAAAGGGCTTTAAAGTGAGAACAGGATGTTGCATTTAGGTCTCTAAACCACTCAATAAGTTATCATATTTAATATATAGTACTTTATACAGTATATCAGAGAAAAATGAGACAAACTAAAAGCAAGTTATACATGACATTTGGAATGTAAATCACACAAAGAGATTAGTTTCCTCTCTAGAGCTCAGTAAGGAGAAAAAGAAGTCCAGAACAATATAATTATAATATTAGCCTTTAAAATATTTTTTATAATTTCATCACTTTAAACTTTGTGTTTTTAACACTAACTGTTCTCAATTTATTAGTTGTTTTAAAATGATAATCGATCATATTTGGGCATTGATTTTGTGTATCTACCCATAGTGTAAAAATACAGTTTGGCAACTTGTATTTTAAGTTTTTACAATTTTTGCCAGAATTCATACTAGAAGGAGCAAATTTTCCCTTTAAACCTTTTGTAAAAATGTCTTGAAAATGAATGTTCTTGTTATTGAACTCAGTTATGTTGCTTTTAGTAGTGAATGATGCCAAACAGATGATTTCAACTTTAGGCAGCTCCAAAAGTTTAGTAATACATAATTTTATATAACAGTGCGACAGTATTGCAATAGAACATAAAAATTCAGAAATCTTTTCATCAATGACTTCCTTTTTCAGTTGCTCCTTACAAAGAATGCATTTTGATGCATTTCAACTTCACATTAACCCGGTGTATTCACACCACATTTTCTGTAAGGCAAATAATAATTTAAGACAAATTGTATGTCAGAGTTGTCAGTTGTCAGATTATGTCAGACAATTGATGTGATTTCATTTTTTGTTGCTTAATGTGAAAGCTATTGCAAAGCATGCGTAACTTTGCTTAAGTAGGGTGTCAGATTTATATAATGTTATCTGATCTACTAATGGATAAACTTTAAAATCAGCCAGTCTGGTTAAAAGATTGCCTGAGAAGTGACTTGCACACACCTGCTGCACCCCAGTGCTGTTCCTTGAATTACATTCGTTTCTGGCTAGCAGACATTGGATGCTTCCTCTCAGACACACACACACATACACCTCATGACTTGGAAGAAGTGATAAGCTACTGGCAGGCAGTCAGATTTGGCTGTCAGTGTTTCCACATGGGAATCACCCTCAACTAATTATATCGTAAGCAGTAGTGGAAAATGCAAATCGGAATTTTACTCACACCACTGAAATCGGAGAGCCAATTTAATCTAATACCCCCTTTAATTTAGCGCACTAATGCAGAGCCCTAGAGGATTGTCCAGTGTCACTGCTGCCCCGAGCTGAGATGGTCTTGGCTTTTACTGTTGGGAACCTGCTGGAGTGTAGTGAAGGCTTTTTAAAAAAATCTGTTTGACATATTCGCTGATGGCTTTCAGCATTTTTGTGATGTATCTCACTGTTCTGTTGATTTTTCATTTTGGATCTGTATAGTCAGAATTTTTTAAGGAATGTATTCTTTATCGCTCCTAAGTAAAATGAGTACTGTAATAAGTTCATACAGTACATGTGCCTAGAGGCTCATCAGACCAGAGACTATCCTGCTTTTTGTTGTGTGAACTAGACTAAGAGTACATGTCTCTTTTCTGGATGGGACACTAGATTATTGCAGGCGGACTGTTCAGGTGTTCAGGTAAAAGTTAAGGTCACAATAGCAGTATCTGCAGAAGGTATCTGAACCCATGATTTATGGGTTCAGGGTCCCAGTCATTACTCTAAGATCCTACTATCATCAGGTTTCATTAAAAAATGCTGCATATTGACACTCTCCATGTCCAAAAGCATGAAGTATTGTTTATTAAAATACACAGTATTGATTTGACAGTGGCATTTGTTCTAACTTTAACAACCATCCTTGCAAGTGTAAAGAAAGTTTTGAAGTGAATAAAATAGTTAAAAATACATACATGTATAATTTAATAGCTCCATAGGTGACTGCAGAGTTGGTAAATAAGTATTCATTATAAAATTAGCACTAACATTTTTGGGCATGCAGTGTACTGCAATTAAAATCTGTGACTTCAATCCAAGCAGATCACAAACAGTGGTAATCTCATTTGTTTTTAAACCTTAATAAAATGTAAATAGCCTTTAAGCACAATACATTCAAGTTCATTTTTAAACTGTAGTGTTATTTTCTTTGTTAGTTCCTGAAAACAAGGATGATTTGCCTTTGACATCATGAAATATTGTCTGAAGTAAATTTGATCCAATAAAGTTGGTAAAGGTGTAATTAAAATGTGGTTTTGAGGTTAGCCTTTAATTCCTATATCCATCGATATACTGTGATATAATAGTTCAGCTTATTCCCCCTCAAATATTTTTTTTTCATTTTTAATGATTAAACATTTTAATATTTTAAGTAACAGAATGCATTTTTCCCCAAAACTTTTTTTCATAGCACACTAAGTTATGGATGGCAGTGCAATTAATTTACAAGTAATGACAGCAGCTTAAGTGTAAGTGGAAACGTACCACCTCAAAATCTACAATCTTCCAAGGTACATGAAGCATAACTGTTGCATTAGCAGCAACTGAAGGATATAAAATATATTCTGTATCTTACTTTTGAATTGGAAAAAGGGGGTTTGATCCAAAAAAACTTATTTAGCCTAACAAACTAGTAAAACCTAAATAAGTGCTATCTTCCAGAAATAGAAATGTAAGTAGAAATATGCTGAGCCCTTTTCAAACCTTATTTACTACATGAACACGTTCCTTCATCAAATGTTTATTCATTTGCCATAAACGAATGATTAGGGTTCAGATTTTAATAACTTGCTAATTACAGTGGACAACATTATTGTATGATTAAACAGAATTTATAGACATGCCTAAGGAGAAGGCACCAGCTTTGATGAACCGGAATTACGTTCCTGTCAGCTATAGCTGATAGTGTTTAAGTTCAAAATTTAAAAAATGCAACTTATCATGATATACAGAAAGGTCTTGCAAACAACATTACCATTAACAGGTGTCATAATATGTCAGTGCAGTACAAACCAGCTGCATAGAAGCACTAGTACGACAGATAAGCTTTAGACTTTCTTTTGTGCTCTTTTGAAAAGTGCAAATGACTCAAAGGGAACAAGGCCTTTAAAAAGACCCATTTTAAAAAGCCTTACAAAAAAAACCCCGAAGACCCTGAAGAACAAGTAGGAACCGTTCCTTAACGAGAGCCAAATAAACGACACCCACAGGCTAGATCCAATTTGTTTTAGGTGTGCACAGAATAGATAAGAATGATTTGGTGGGCCTTTTCTCCCCTCCCCCAACCTATGCTTCCCTGGAGATAACAGAAAGTGCTCCTAGCCAATCTCTGCTGGGCAGGAAAAAAAACAAGGGACAGACAGCCTTTAGATCTGCAGATC